CTTCTTTTAAGATTGACTGGTTTGACCGCCTAGCAGTCCAGGGAACTCTTAAGAGTCTTTTCCAGCACCACAGTTCAAAGGCATCAATTCTTCAATGCTCAGCCTTCTTTATCCTCAAACAGTAAGAATGATGTTAGCCAAAATGGAGCAAACAGGGCAATAAATCATTGTAATTTTTGTTACCGATGATGTGCCAGAATACAAATACCCAAAACTAAGCTAAACATTATAAAAACATTTCAGCCCTTTTTTATCTCTTCCTGCTGTGTCCATGTGTCATTAGTGTAAATATTTTTAGCAGAACTGTTTTGTTCAGCAAAAATTAATCAAAATACCGCAGGTGCCCTCAATATCCAAGGCTGAGAAATGGATGCCACATAACAGCAAGAGGAAGAAATGCAAAGTTGACATCCTGTACATGCAATATACACCAGTAATATTTGTAATTGATTAATTGAAATCAGTTTTAAAAAACCTGCAAAACAAAACAGAATTCACCCAATTTATTTGTCTTGTTCTCACCTACTTTTTGGAATGTCACCCAGCAGGCCACTTAAAGAATGAAGTATGGTCCTCAGCCCTCAGCCCAGAAAAAGTTGCTCCTTCTGCTGTAGCTATCATTTTAGTATGGCTACAGGGAAATACAAAATAATGGATGGAGAATCCACAATGACTAAAAACATTGACAGAAACTCTTAGTCTTTAGAAAGTTGCCTCTGTTTGGAAAACGTGAGTAATAATGGCACATGGACTGTAAGACTGTCAGAGGAAATATACAGGCGGTTAGGAGAAGATGGGTTGGTACTAGAGACAGGTGTCCTGCAGCATCACTTCTTCCTCCTCTCTTAGACAGCTATCCAGTCAGTTGTGAGCCTTCAGGCTGGCATCTTCGACAGAACATATTCCAGTTTCACTTGAGAGAAAGCCATCAGAGTTTAATGTCCTCAGTTAAAGAATAGATTGGGGAAGAGTGTGACATTGGAAACCCTTTTAATACTGTGGCAGAAATTATTATTAAGTATTTGAAGAATTGTAACAAAACATTATTGTATACTAGGTGTTTGATCTTCAAGATCTTCACTTCCATGTACCATTTCTTTAGCAGACTGTAATGATAGGGCATGTTTCTACAACCTTGGTGACTGAAAATGGCTTGATGAATGTAATTTATTCTGAGCCCACGGCAGGTATAACAGGATAGTGGATGCTTTGAAGTAAGAACACACAATAGATTACCAGCAACTTTCAGTCTCTAGAGAGATATATTAGGAAGGGGAAAGAGAATTGTGGGGTTTTTTCTTTCCTCTGTTCTTTACCAGTTGACTAAATTGAATGATCTATGAACCTGAGAGCGCGTACAAATAAGCATGCAGTTGGATGCCGGGCTGGGGTGGGTGGAAGCATAGACACAAAATGATGATGAGGCCAGAAGTTGCAGAATTTCAGCAATGAAGAGATTAATGCAAAATATGAAAATGTAAAGCATTTTAATTTTGTAGTCAGCACAGTCTTCTATAAGCAGGAAAAGACTTGCATATGAATTTTATTGGGTCCAGGGAATCTTGTGTTTATTTTCTGTCTCCAGAATAGAACGTTATGCATATCCCTGTATTTCATCCATCTTCATCTTCCATATGACCAGTCTGTTCTGTTTCTTATGAGGCTTGAACTTATGAAAGCTTGCGTGATCATGCAAAAATATGACTAGCTATACAGCAAGAGCACTGAGAAAAGGCCTAATCTCGTACTTCGGTGCGATTTTTAAAACTGAAAAATTTTTAAAAATGAGATTTTTAAAAATGAGACCCATTTTGGTCCAGTGGTTAAGGCACCAGGCTAGAAAGCAGGAGACTGAGTTCTAGTCCCACCTTAGGCATGAAAGCCGGCTGGGTGACTTCAGGCCAGTCACTCTCTCTCAGCCCAACTCACCCCACAGGGTTGTTGTTGTGGGGAAAATAAGAGGAGAAAGGAATATTAGGTATGTTCACCGCCTTGAGTTATTTATAAAAATAAGAAAGGTGGGTTAACAAAAAAGCAAGTTGGAATAATCTAATCATTGGAGAAAAACAAGGTGAGCTGCAGTACTTCTAAACTTTGAGGAACCAACCTCAAAAAGAGTCAAGTGTTCCTTGCCTAGTTAATTTGTTAAAAATTAAAAGTACTATTTATTGAAAAGTTTTTTTAAAACAGGGTTTTTTAATCATAGTAGTATATTAGATAATATAAAGTTGCTACTTTTAATATTTCAATAGCATAGGCTTAATTAATGTTGAACTGATATAAATTTCAGTAAATAAATTTGTAAGAGATTTGTCTCAGTGTTTAATAATCTGCCTTGCTAGGCATAGGAAAAGAGCAAGCTGATTAAATTCCAGAGCAGCAGACACAAAAGAAAGCAACTGATCCTGCATTCTTTCACACACTGTTATAGATTCTACTATAAGCTGTTATGAATAGCATTATGATCATAGTAGTAATAAGGGCCAATTATCTGCTCTTAAAGCTCTGTTCAGCAGAGTGCTTTCTGCTATACAGAGGGATGTATTATGGCTGTATCTCAAAATACATGAGCAAGTGGATCCTACCGTTTTTCTAGAAAGCAAAGAATCATTGGGCCAATCCATTCCATCTTACTTTGTGGAAAATGGTATATGAGCAATATCATACATTTGAAGATTTTTGAGAAATGTTGATATTTACTCGCCATTCTTATGATTTTAGAAAGTTCAAAAGAAACATTAAGATAAAAAGTGGGATTTTATCAAATTTCTATTTATAAGAAATCATCCAAAATGAGAACATCTACAGGTTTCTGAAAGTTACTACACCTTTTATTATAGAATGTTATAAATCCCATTTAATTAATGATCAGCATGTATTAGTTTAGTGCTAGGTTTCTTGGCATTTACATTAATCAAAAGTCATATATTCAGTATAACATTTAAAGGTGTAAGCAGCCATACACATGATCTTTATGCTGGGTGAAAATAATTGACATTTCTAACAAATATCTTCAGATTTCTGAAAGGCGGAAGCAGATCCAAGTTCTAGATGAAAATGAGAAGTACTCAATTATGAACATTTTAAAAAACTTCATAACCTTGTGCCTGGGATAATTCTAGTTGTGTTTTCTGGTTTGATTTTATAGTAAACCTTTTAAGTACACAAATTAGGTGCGGTGAATTATTTTATTAATTTTTAGTTTTTTATAAGCAGGGTTTGTATGCAGCCTCAGTTCTTGAGTAGATGGCTTACAATGTAATACAGTACAAGAACAATAAGTAAAAATCAATGCTTATCATATCAGAATTAATCATGAATTATCAGTATTGCTAACAAATAACAGTCTTAGCATCAGTGCTCTTGTATACATTGTCAGAAACCAGGACCTCAGCTCAGGATGTACCATAGCAGCCATTCCTTGAAGGTTCTGTGAAACAGCAGGATTTGACTGCTTTACTGACAAAGAGGGGGCTCTCCTATCTTCTGGGGGATAGATTATTTCAAAGGAAAAAAGAAAAAAAGCCATAGCAGAAGGTAGGAGTTTCCTGACTCCTACCTTCTAACTCTCAGACAAAGAGGACTTGCAAAATGCCCTTTCTTCTGGTTTGTCGAATAGTGAGCTAATTCTGTCCAGAATGGAGAGTCTCGAAGGTATTCCAGTTTAATAATTGTAGCGCAAAAAGGAAAGGTTCATCATGCATCTCACAATTAATGTGTTTGTTCTTATTTTTAGGAACGACTCCTGATGAGCCTTTTACCCAGGAATGTTGCCATGGAAATGAAGGAAGATTTTCTTAAGCCACCTGAAAGAATTTTCCATAAGATTTACATTCAGAGGCATGACAATGTTAGGTAGGATTGATATGAACTTGCAAAATAAATCAAGCTGTATGAACTTTTCATCTACCTATCGTAATAAGGGGCAGTGAAATGCAAAATGTGACTTCCCTCTTGATTTGTGATATGCAGTGAGAAACTGAGTGTTTCCAGGTAAAGAGGATATAAACTCATTGTGAGTCAGTAAAGTAGAAAATATAATTTTAGTACAAGGAGAGATAAAATATCTTTTAAAATATTACAGGAGCCACAACCAAACAAATGCCATGCTAGAGGTTTTAACATACACAGGCCAGTGTCTTAGAGAAGCTCTTGCCTTATAGGCTGTTTCGGGAACTAACTCAGGGACTAAATTCTGGATTTCATTTGGAATAGAAGCCCTCAATGATCTCTAGACTCAAGAATTATTGTAGCACAGCTACTATTACCAGACAATGATTTTTTTTTCCTTCAGAATTTAACTGAGCATGTTACAGGAACTCTTTTCAGATCCAAACAGAAATGCTCAGTTTCTGTCCATATTCCTTTTGGCAAGCCAGAATGGTACTAACATAATATTTCCCTTATATAGTTAAAACATCTAAATTACTGCTGTTTCTGCACAAATTGGCCTTTGTTTTTGTGCCACTTGAATATTAAAGTGCCTGCTTATTTTTTATATTTAACGTTGATCTCAAAATACTATAAAATAGGTTCTAAATTAATTACAGTTATTTTTTGATCCTCAGCATTGTGCCCCTTCTTTCTTCTTTCCTGTTTCATCCAGACTGCCATACATATTTTTCTTTTTTCTTGTGACTATACAGAGGGCCCAAACAGAATTATACAGCCGTTGTTTCTTTTCCAAACAGTAAATGGTTTGTTTCCTGATGTCTTTGAACCCATGCTTATCATCTTTAGGAGTATATCTCTACATTATGCACATGCAAAAGACATAGAGCAAAAATTATTACTTTTGCTCCCAATGGTAAAGCTGTGAGGAGCAAGAAGATACACTTACTTTACTAGGCTGACGCATTTATATATTTCATTGAATTCTGAATGTTTGTAATACATACCTTTCATAGATAAAATTTTGTTTAGAATTACATGCATGAAAATAAATTTGCATTTAGAATATCCGTCTGTGATAACTTGGAAGAAATCATAGAACGGTCTCTAAAAAGGAAAGACGCTGCGTGTGAAATCCTACAAAGAAATTAATCATTCTCCTCTGGAAGTTGTGTTCCTTAATGCCAGTGTGAGGTTGCTTAATGATGAGGGAAAGATGTTTTGCATAATCACTTCACAAGCTTCAGGATTCAATCTTAGTACTGCAAATGGATTCTGGGACCCTTTTTTTTTTTTTTTTTTTTTAA